CAATGGAGTCTGGCGTGGTGAGCGTGCACACAGGCCATGACAGTTGAGTGCATTACTTATTGTTTTCTTTGAATCAATTGTACCTGCTAATTCCAGGTCTTTCTGAAGCTCTCTTCAAGTGGAGTCTTGGCTCTTGGGAGAACTCTTCTGATAATGCTTTTCACTCAGAAAGCTTGCGAGGAGCATGGTCGGTTTATGGTGAAATGATGTTCTTTCGAATTCTGGATTATGGCCCCAACAGTGCTCACTGGAACATCCAGAAGTTTAGAAATCCTTCTGTAGCCAATGCCATCAGTATAGTTTGCAACAATAAGGCTGTGTAGGTCTTGACACCTTGGTAATGAGACACCTTTTTATAGGCTATCAGTTGAGACTTTTTTTTTAATATTTATTGAATCTTATACGCTTGGTACAATAATAACTTGACATACAACTCTGTAAACCATTTTTTTTTTTTTTTTTTTTTTTTACACAACAGTGGCGAGTACAGAAGTCAATACAACGTCTGTAATGGAAACAAAAGACAGTATGCAACTAGACATCAATGTCACAACAAATCAGTACAAGATATACCGATTTCCAAGGAAGAAAAAAAACTATTTTTTGAGCAATCCCCTAAGAACGGAAGTTTGGTTATGCAGGCCTAAACAATTACATCTCTATCAAACAGACAATTGGGAAAGAGTGTCATATGGGCTAAGAAACATGTGGAGGAGCATGGGCTCCATTACGTGACTGGGAAATATCAAGCAGTGGAGTGGGGCTATGAGAGGATTTAGGCAATCAAAGTCTACCCGGCATATTGGTAAGTAGAGCTTTGAGATACCAAACATCGAAAAAGTTCCATATTGGTGGCCAGTTCCACGGGAGTAAAGGAGTGTTCCATGAAGCGCCGCCATCTAGAGAAGAAGCGACGTGAACATTTAAAATTCTGGGTAATGGTGTCCAGCTTTTCCAGATTAAATAGGGCAGTTAGCGCCTGTATTACCATTTTAAGCTGTGGAGGGTTTGGCTGTATCCATGCTTGCATGAGTGCTCTGGGAGCCACCAACAAACAAATATGATTCCACTGAGGAAGAGCATTTGGACTTGCTGATTTCACGGGATCTTAATAATTTAAGAGTAAAAAGCATAGGGTCCTTGGTGAGAGTGATGTTATACAGATGATTAATGTAAGGGAGAACTCAGTCCCAGAAGGTGGAGACTCGGGCACATTTCCAAATGCGATGAAACAAAGTAGGTCGGGTGTGGTCGCACCAAGGACATGTAGGGCAGGGAGTGATCACTGGGTTCACTGAAAAAGGATAGTAAGCTCTGTGGATGATTTTAAATTGAGTTTCCCGCCATGTTTCACAGAGAACAAGTGAAGATATTTTCCGGTATCCCAACAATATTTTGTCCGGAGCATCATCAGTAGACAGTATGGGAGTCCATGGCTTGAAAGGAGTAAGATGGTACTGGTGTGAGATGAGAGTAAATTGCTGAGCTGGAATAAATTATTCTGAGGTAGTAGAGTTTCTATAAAGGTGTGCTGGAAGGGATATTGTTTTGGAGAATAGCATGTCCCGAGGAAGGTCACCAGCTGATGGTAGTGACAGATAGGAAATTCCGGTAGGTAGTATTTGGCAGCTAATACTAAAAAAGACTGGAAGGTACGTTCGGTATCATCAAAGATAGATATGACTTTAGCAAGTCCACTATGAGACCATTGTTGAACGCTGCATGTTCACTCGCTGGAGGGATCATACAGTTTCAAAAATAGGCAAAATGGGAGGATATCCTTGGCAGTAGGTCAAGTAGTTTTCACATTTCCCTCCAGACCAATACTGTGGCTTTAATCAGGAGGTTCAATAGGAGGTGTCGAGGTAAGGCCTTGAGATTAGAATGGCTGGAAGGTGTAGCGGAGAGAACAGGGCCTCTTCTTGGGAGTAAGTCGAATAATGGGATTTCCCAGGAATCCAATCAAGAGTGACGGAGGAGGCAGGACAAGCTGTAAAATCTAATATTCGGCAGGTCTGCACCCCCCTCACTCTTTGGGAAACGAAGCTTTTGTAATGCAATACGCGGTTTCTTACACTGCCACAGAAAGAGCCCTCAGGACAAAGGTTCAAGGGTGAAATTAAGGAGGATGGGGGAGAGTGGCAGCCCTGCCTAGTGCCTTTGGTCAAGGGAATGCTTGAGGAAATAAAGTCAGGTGTGACTAGTCTAGCCATGGGCGAGGAGTACATGTGTCGTAAAAAGTCCAAAATAGGGCCAAAAAAAACAATCATCCTCATAACCATGAAGAGCCAAGCAAAGCTAAATGTTATCAAAGGCTTTTTCGGCATCAAAAGATTTAAGTGCTAGGTCTATCTGTGGGTTTGTTTTAGCATGATCATGGGCCAGTAGTACTTTGCCGATGTTATGCATTGCAGAGCGACCCGGCATGAACCTGGATTGGGCTGGATGTAGTATCTCGGGACGCAGTAGACCCAACCTGGATGCCACGATTTTGGAAAGT